TTAGAGCATCTTGGAGCCCTAATCCTGACTGGGCCCTCTAAATGGTTATTATTATTTCTATTTCTTGTAGTATACCACATGCATTTGTTTTTATGCACTTCCTCAAACTCTAGGCTAGGATACAACACAGTGGAGACAGATCAACAACACACACGCACGTTAGCCTAGGGACTGACATCAGTGAGCTTTGGATCAGGCCCATAACAAACAAATGAGGGTGGAAAACCACCTGACAGGTCAATTTTAGAGAGTGCATATTATTGTAAAAGCAGCAGGTAGACCTAAAATCAAAATGATGGCGGTTGCTCCTGAGACTACTGACCTGTAGCATTGCATTAGTATTAAGCCTCCTACCCCAGGGAACGGAGGAAATCAGTGGCGGAAACAGCAGAAAGCAATGTGAGAACCAGAGAGGCAGCAAGAGACAAAAATGGGAGCAGAATGGACACTTGGGGAGTCGCAGAGGAACTGTGGAAAGAAGCTGGATGTGAGTTGTGACACAGCCGTAGAGGGACTGACTGGAGGCCAGCAAGAGAGGCAGTGGGAAGCAGACAGGGGGCAGAGAAGTGTGATAGAGAAGCAAAGTGAAGAAGTAGTAAAAGGAGCAGTGCCATGGAAAGGAAATGGGGTCAGTGAGACACAGTGTGAGGGAGAAAAGAGAAGCAGCGTGGACCATCATTGGGGACAGAGATGAGATGATAGCAGAGAAGTAGGAGGGAGCTGTCGAGCACATCTGAGAAGCAAGAAGGACAGGGGAAACTGCAAGGACAATGGGAGAGCACCAAAGGGGCAAAAGGAACCAGAAAGTAGTGCTAAGGCTAATGGAGGAGCAGTGGGAGGGATAGAGGAGTCAGGAGGGAAGCAAAGACAAGAAGGGCAAAAGTAGAGACAGGACAAAGTAGCAAGATGAGTCAAGGAAACAGCAGGAGGGATGGCTGGGGAAAGCCAGCAGGTGGAGAGGTGGAGCAGTAGAAGAGGTGAAGCTGAGGGAATGGCAGTACAGCAACAGAGCAGAAAACAGTAGTGGGGACTGGGAGCTGTGAAGCTGGGGTACTGTTGTAAGGGAGGAGCACTTGAGAACAAGAGAAGTGGAGGAAAAATGGTAGCAAGGGAAAAACAGGGCAGAGTGGCAGGGGAGCAACAAGTGGGGAGTGGCAGAGGAAGGCAATGAGGGGACTAGGTTTTGTGAGGTGATTCCTTCACTTGTGACTAGTTTCCCCCCCCATATACACAATCAACAACATACTCCCTCCCTCCCCACCCCCATAATTCCTGCACCTATGTCCTCGGACTGTGCTCACCCTCCTTTGCCTCTTTGTGTGACTGGCTCTGGAGGTTCTGGTCACCCCACACACGGATGCCACTAGCAGGTGAGTGAGGAAGGTGGCAGCAGCAGGGAAATAAATTCACTGGGCCAAATCTATCCCTGGTGGAATACCAGGGAAGTCACTTAAGTCACTCCTGGAATGAATTTAGCCCAAGAAGTTAAATTAGGAAAGTAGAGCAGAAGGCTGATGAAAGAATGGACTTAGGACAGGAATAAGAGGAGACAGAACAAGAACGAGGGATGGGAGCTGTTTACTAAACCTGCAGGGCACATGGGGACAGCATGTGGCAAATGGCAACAGACTATATTTGTGCTTGGTTTATGAACAAATAAAACACAGAGGCAATACTTCAGCTGGTGTAAACTTGCCAAACTTCACTGAACTCCCTCGAACCATGTCAGTTTACAGCAGCTGTGGAGCTGGCCTTGAATGTCTCTCTCAAATGTGCACCAAAGGCTGGTGGACCAGGATGAACTCCAACGTGGATAAACAGGACACAACTCTGGTCCATGCTGCTGTGGCTATGTCTGCTTCCTCTCACTGATGTGCCTGGAGTAATGTCAGGAGCACCAGGAGATCAGATACGAATTCCCTCCCTTGTGCAGGGATCTGGTGTTGACCTGCCGCCACATCCTGCATGGGAAAATGAGAAGCCGGAGGGAAAGGCTAAGGCACTAGACAGTCAGTGTTACTGTGCTGTGGCTAAGGGTCAGAGACAGTGTGCATGGCTCATAGAAGAGCAGAAGCTTATGTGCTTGCATAGATATCATAGGGCAAGGGGTCAAATTCACTCTGAGGAAAGGGCCAGATTACCTTTTAAATGATGGTCTATGGGCCACCTTTGGACAACATACTGCCCTCCATCCACAGCAGCTCTCCTCATTGGGATGGGGGTGGGGAGTAATAGGTGCCTATATAAGACAAAGCCCTGAATATCGGGACTGTCCCTATAAAACTGGGACAGCTGATCACCCTAAAAGGGAGGAGCAGGGGAGCCTGGGTACCACAGGAGTGTCTGGAAGAGTAATGGAAAAGTTGAGGAGCAGTTGGAGGGGAGGGAAAGGCAGTGGGTGCACAGGGTAAAGTGGGTTTGTTGCTCTTCTGTGTTAAGAAGCTGTGCTGGGATGTCGTGTGAGTCAATGTATGGAACAACCTAGCCAATGACCCTGAATAGGGCAGGAAGAATCCTTCTCTGCCGCTGCTGCTCTCTCCTTTAACTCAGTGTGGCAAGAGCAGAATCTGTGCCTCACCAGCAGGCTTTCCTTCCTGCTCCTGGCTCAGTGCCTCCTGGTGCCCACTTCCCCTTCTCTAGTGTTTCCTGCCCGCCTGTGCTCCCTACCAGGCCCTGGCCTGGTGTTAGCTGCCTGCCCCAGTGTTGCCCTCAGTGTTGGTCTTACAGTTTAGAAGACTACAAATCACCCGGAGGGCACAAGTTTCTGTAATTTCCCTCCCAGCCTTTCAGGAGTCAGACTGAGCTGGCTCAGGGTTACTGGACAAGCTGGTATCTCTCTCCCCCCCGCCTCCCCGGAATCTCA